TAGTATTATTTGGAGAGTCGACGTCAACCAGTTGTGAAGTGGAAATACGTTGCTACAAAAAATTTTTCAAAAAATTTAATTACCGCTCTTGGCGTTTTGCCAATTCAGACGACATTGTTCAGACGACGAGCCCAGACAACTTCATGCTTAAACTGGCAAATTCTCTAAAAGCTGTCTAAAATATGAATTTCCGGTGGCCGGAAGGGTCTTTTCCGAGATCACTAAAGATTTCTATAGCCTTAACTTCTAATAGGAATTTCCGTCTGCACATCCAAAAACCAATGTTTTTATATTTTCACACTTCTGCCTCAAACCAGCGTTTCACCGTCATTAAAATATGCGCACATTATGTTTTGATTTTTGCACAAGTTAGACAAGATAATTCTGCTTGTTATCTTGTTGCTGATTTAGCTAAGGCTTTTACTGTACGACTTCTAGAAGTAAACTTTTTTAGTTTTGCCAATTTTATTAACACAATTCATTGTACCAGTATGTTTCATCAACTTTTCAAAGCCATTTCTCACCTCCATTTTTTCATTTTGTTATTCTAAAATAAGCCTTCAAGCCATATGAATCTCAAATCGCACCACATTTTTTGGACTAAATTCTTTGATATTTCAAACAGACATTTTTCTTGCGCTCCTTAACAAACTACATAATAAAAGTTAATTTGGACGTTAGTTTGAGGGAAAAACAGTAATGGGGTTTGAATTTGAATTTTTTACTTTTGCTCTTTAGAGCATTTCTATAAGGAGTACTAGAAGTGTGTATCTCTTGGAGCAGTATAAAGGTTTACGTGTAAAGGAAAAATTGAGTTCTTAGACTGCTAGTGTGATCCTAGAGAAAATGGCAGTAATCATTAAAAAGATATGATGGCGAGTTGAGTGAACTGCTCTGAGTCACAAAGAAATCCAGTTACTGTGTCAGCAAAATTAAGATAACGTTAGGATTAAGAAGCAGATCAGAATACAGTGAAAAACGACGTTTCATTTAGCGGGTAAACTACAACAAAACGTTTTTTTTTTAAGATGCGTAGACATACTTATTTGAAATGTTAATGAAGGTCCTCGAAACATTTCATAGTTCAAAAAATTTTATACTTAAGACGTCCAGCAAAACACTATTTTTAGTCTAAAAATACAATTCTGCGAGTCCATTTGCCTTGAAATAAAAAGACGTCAAAACTTGACAGAATTAACAAGATTTCACGAAATAATATTCTTGTTAATTACGCTTTATAACGTGCTTTTTCAGGGTATGGAAGCGAAGAATTCACAGAATTCACATCTACCGTCACTACGTTACAATATAACAATTTTAGAAAGTTGAGTGGTCTGGAAGAGGCCCGGTGCACGGTGTACTTTCAACCACGTTGGAATTTCGCCAAGAAAAGCACCTGTTATGGATTTGAAAGTCAGAAATGCAATTGCTCCTGTAAGTTTATCGCTAGTATTTCTTTTGTGCTGGAAACGGCAGTGTGGACTTAAGTAGTTATTACTTTGATTACTATTGACTTCGTTACCTAATTCATACTTTATCATGTCCAAGTAATAGTAGTAAAGTTCAGGGTTAGTAAATGGTCATGCTTCTGCGGTATAACACTGATAAATTCGGTTACCTGTAGTGCTGTGTGCTATATCATCTTTAATATGGAGCGAGAGCCAGTTCCAGGAACCTCCACTGATAAACAAGAGAAAGAAACAGTAGCGGAACAATGGGTAATTTTATACTCGTTATTAAATATAGAACTATGAGTGGGAGGTGTCACCCTCAAGTTCTTAAAACTCGCTTTTTAAGATTTGTTCCAGTAGTTTGTAAATTATGAGTTCGTTTGAAATTTCTAGAATTAATTTTTAGAAACGTTACATGGACACGAAGAAGGCAAAGTTGATGCATCAAATTAATTATATGATAGAGAAAGAAGTCCTCTCAAACATTTTCGATGGGGTTTCCATATTTGTAAATGGTTATACTAGTAAGTAGACTCAGATATCTCTACTAAAAGTATGGTCTGTTGAAGGTTAAAGTTGTCTGTATTAACCTCACTGTTTTTGATTTGCAGACCCACCAGCTTCAGAGCTGAGGCATCTTGTACAGCTGCATGGTGGAGAGTACCATGTTTATTATGAGTATGGCAAAACGACCTATACTGTAGCAACACATGTTGCTAAGGGCAAATCGGCAAAACTGCGCAAGAACGAAAAGATTATTCACCCGCAGTGGATAACTGATTGGTATATTTTTGGGAATTAATTAGCCTAATGGTCTAATTGCGTCGTAGTAGTGAAGAGCAATACAGTTGCTAAAGATTTGTGTCGAATTTCCGGTCTGGAGTATGTATGAGCTGTAGTCACTTGATTTAAGGTTACTGGTTCTATTATTCTCAATGAATTGATCCGCATTTAGTATCAAAGCAGGCGAGCGACTGCCTGATGAAGGTTACTTACTACCGAAAGAAGGGGGTCTTCCTCGAGCTGTCGCTGCAGCCTTAGCTGACTCGCGATCTGCGTCTGCAAGAAATGCTGCTAATGATCCAAATTATATCAATAACTTTTACCAAAGGTTACTCACAACAACTTTACTTCTCTTTCTGATTCTTCCCGTCTTCAGTTTTTATACTGAAATGTTTCAAAGCGTGCACAACCAAAAACTTGTTTAACTTACTTTTAATAGAAGAAGGATAGTTTTTTTTCGTCGTAATGCTTGTATTTTAAGAACTCTTTCAGTTTGGTGGCTCCTTCTTTTTTAGCCAATCAGGGCAACGAATCTTAATTGTAGTAAGCGTAGCTGTGTTTCATTACAACCAGTAAGTGAAGCGGGGCCACCAAATGAAAGGGAGCCCTAATTTTTACTCATCTTTTAGTTTTTCCACATTTTGAAATATTATTGCTTTTGGATAAAAAATCGCATAAAACATGTGTATCTTTTGCTACAAAAGGCTTTTTTGGGGCTTTTAATATGGTCTAAATTTTGGTATTTTTCCTACATTTTTAAATTTAGGTCACGTTTGCATCTTATATCAACTCTGGCTCAAGAAATGCGGCGTTTTGTTTTAGATCTCAGACAGTCTCCACCAGAAAAATTTGCGTCTAGGGACCGGTTACATGTCTTAGCAGCGTCTCATTTTACTGTGTTTGTTTTAGTCTAAATCCTCTTATTACCTATTACAATATATGAATGATTATGGTTTTAAAAGCCTAACCGAATTGGGGATTCATCAAAATGACGGGGATCAGTTTTAGTTCTCTGCTTTCTTCAAATATTGAAAGCTTTTAAAACATTTTTATATGCGTAGCTGTTATAGCCCACCACGAGAATGCATATGTCATATTGATTTGGACTGTTTTTTCGTGTCCGTTGCACTCCGGTCTCGCCCTGATCTTATTGGCAAACCAGTTGCTGTAGCTCACTCTAGAGTATTATCTTTGTCTCTTATGAACTTTGTGTGAAATGTTATCTTTGATTTCGTGTGTAACAATTGAAATATTTTTACTGTTTTGCAATAGTCTAGCTTGGTTTTGGTATATATGATACTTTTTCTCTGATAAGCTTTTACATTCACTTCATTTGGGTAATTTTATTGATTGCTTACAGGGTACTGGTTATGGTGCTGGTTTATCAGATGTGGCTTCATGCAGCTACGAAGCTCGTGCTGTAGGAGTTCGTAATGGAATGCCTGTTCGAGAAGCTAAAAAACTTTGTCCTAACTTAATATGCACTCCCTACCAGTTTGAGGAATATCGCACGACATCGAAACAAATTTATGAAATTGTATCTAGGTCATGATAACTGTAATAGTTCTTTTCTCTAACCTTTAATTAATTGGCTTATGAAGCACCGTCATTTTGTTTCTTTTTTCGCTTTCGCTTATGCCAAAATTTCATTTCAGATACACAGTTGATATACGCGCAGTAAGTTGCGATGAAATGTATGTGACTCTTGAAAGCCTGTGTAAAGAAATGCATATAACAGACATCATGGGAATAGTTGCTTTTATAAGAGATGAGATTTATCATGAAACGGGTTGTCATGCATCTGTTGGTATTGGTATCTTTTGGCTTATCAGTAAGAAAGTATATTTCTGTCTAACTGTAGCTTCCTGTAAATGGATCTCAAAAGTCTTTTTGGCTTAGGTTCGAACATGCTTCTTGCCCGTTTAGCGACGCGTCATGCCAAGCCTAATGGTCAGTTTTTGGTGAGAGATGAGCAGGTTGAAGTATTTATGAAGAAGGAAAAGATTTCGTCTTTGCCTGGAATTGGATACAGCACACGAGGAAAATTTGAAGCGTAAGTTACATCTTTCAAAGTTTGTGCTATTACTGCTAAGCTGTGCACTGATAGTTTAGCTCGGATAATGCATTGGTTTTATCGGTAATTTAGAAATTTTGGAGCTATGGAGACTTGTGAAGAGCTTCAGAAGGTACCGATGGAGAAACTGCAGTCTTTGCTGGGGACGAAAGCGGGTTTGCAGGTATTTATTACTTTTCTGATACTATTAACTGCTAATGCAATTTAAACTTTTGCAGAAATTAGTAACTTTTAGATTTATAATCTTTGTCGTGGTATTGACAAGAACCAGAACTTGTTAGAAGTTTCTTCGAGGAAATCAGTTTCATGTGATGTGAATTATGGAATTAGATTTACAAAAGTTGGCTAGTTTTCTTCATTCATTGCAAAACTAATATTTTTTGGCTAATATTCTACTTGTTTTTAAAAGCGTTTTTATTAGATTTAGTGTTTACATCAATTTCGGAAAATGGCAAATTTTTTCTATTTTAGACTAAAATTTTATCCCTTCCCCGAAATTACTGGTTGCCATACTTGATTTCGATAATTGGTTCTTTGTTCAAAATATAATACGGTAATGTAGTTTCTAAATGGGTACCTCTGCACACCTTAGTTTATGCAAAAGTACAGCTGGAATTCAAGATGTGTTTACTTAGGCTCTTGACTAGAACGCTAGAAAGAGAACATTAGAGGTTGTTTTGCAGGCAGGGAACATTGGTCATAACATTAAACTGAGGACCCATACGCTAAAAAACTTTTGTGTGAAACTCTAGAACAGCTCTCGCAATTTAGACGAAACATTATACCTGTAAAAGAAGGACAAGAGTTGGATCTTGGTAGTTGGACCGTCTTGTAGTACTGTTGATTACAGGGGCTTTAGTAAAAGGACTTGGACGCTTGATAAACTGACTGGCTTTAGATGTCTTTCATTACCTTCGGCAAAGTATGAGAAAGCTTTTATGGGGTATATTAACAGGGAAGTAGGAATAGTGTTCCGTGAAAGTTTTATTTGCGTAGGAATGCAGGCTAACTTTAGTCATGGAACACAGCCGAAGTCATAGTGAAGCGCCCGCTTCCATGTATTTATACTTCATGTTTTCTTATATATAACCCTTGCAGTAAAAGTTATTTTTACTGGGAGAAGTGGCCACGGACGAAATTTTTAGGAAAAAATTTTATCTTTCAAATTCCAACCGGACAAAGTAGTCCGGGCAAACTGCTAAGAGATAGGTTTCCCAGATATTAATATCTGGTTAGACGTCGCTTCCGTCATTAAAGTCACGCTGGAGTGGGGTTGGAGCTCTTTTTCATCCACCTTTTTCACAACTTGGCATCAGATAAATTGGCTCATCTATTTTCATGTAGCATAGTATGGGACGTATATGCTTTTGGAAACTACAGCGATACCAAAAATATGTTGCCCAGTGAAATTGTTTGAAAAATTCTTTCTGCATTGCCAAATAAATATTATTGGGAGAATGGTCAGAAGTACTTTTAACGAGACACTTTTTAACTTTTAAC